AACACACGAGAGGATCCACACTGGAGAGAAACCGTACACATGTGATCAGTGCGGGAAGAGTTTCACACGAAAAGGACACCTTACAGGACATATGAGAGTTCATACTGGAGAGAAACCATACACTTGTGAACAATGCGGGAAGAGTTTCACACTAAAAGGACATCTTACAGAGCATATGAGGATCCACACTGGAGAGAAACTTTATACATGTGATCAGTGCGGGAAAAGTTTCGCACGAAAAGGACACCTTACAGGGCATATGAGAGTTCATACTGGAGAGAAACCATTCACTTGTGATCAATGTGGGAAGAGTTTCACACAATCAGCAAATCTTAAGGATCACATGAACATCCACACTGGAGAGAAACATTACACATGCGATCAATGCGGCAAAACATTTTTGTGGGCTTCAGTCCTTAAGAAATACCTGACGGTTCATACAACACATTCATGTTATTTGTGTGGAAAGGGCTTTTCATGTTTACAATATTGGAAATACATCAGAAAATACACACTGCTGTGAGAGAGTACATGTGCTTTGAGTGTGAAAAGACTTTTATTTCAGCAAACTGTTTAAAACAGCACCAGAGGATCCACACTGGAGAAAAACTTTACAAGTGTTCACACTGTGACAAGAGATTCAGTCAGTCAGGAAGCCTGAAAACACATGAGAGGATTCACACTGGAGAGAAACCTTACAAGTGTCCACACTGTGACAAGAGATTCATTCAGGTATCACATCTGAAAATACATGAGAGGATCCACACTGGAGAGAAACCGTACAAGTGTTCACACTGTGAGAAGAGATTCAGACGGTCAGAACACCTAAAAATACATGAGAGGATTCACACTGGAGTAAAATTTGATATGTGACCCTGGACCACAAAACCAGTCATAAAGGTAAATAAAAAAAAGTGAGATGTATCCATGAATAATTAAAAAATGTTTCTTGAGCAGCACATCAGCATATTAGAATGATTTCTGAAGGATGTGACACTGAAGACTGGAGTAATGATGCTGAAAATTCAGCTTTGAAGTTATATAGATTACAGAAATGTTATATTGTAATGCTATCTATCTCTCTCTCTCTCTCTCTCTCTCTCTCTCTATATATATATATATATATATACTGTATATATATATAAA